GATGGGTATAGGTGGAAGATTGTTTATGTTTTGTTATGGCTGTAGGTGGATGATTGGTTGTGTCTTGGTAAAGCTGTAGGTGGATGATTGGCTGTGTCTTGGTATGGCTATAGGTGGATGGATGGTTGTGTCTGAGTATGGTTATAGGTGGATGATTTGTTTTGTGTCTTGGTATGGCTATAGGTGGATGATTGTTTATTTCTTGGTATGATTATAGGTGGATGATTGGTTGTGTTTTTGCACACTATAGGTGAATGAGAGAATCCGCCAAGGATAAAATGTACCTTAGTGTTTGGTCGAGTGGTTATGTAGTGTGTGAGTGTATTATTAAGTGGTGAACTATTGGAATGGATAGCTGTGCATTGTCAGATGCTACGGTAGACCTACCTCCTGTGTGTGTAAGACCTACCACCTGCGTGTGTTAGACCTATCTCATGTGTGTGTAAGACCTACCACCTGTGTGTGTTAGACCTACCCCCTGTGTGTGTTGACCCACCTCCTATGTACGTTAGACCTACCTCCTGTGTGTGTTAGACCTACCTCCTGTGTGTGTTAGACCTACCTCCTGTGTGTTTTAGACCTACCTTCTCTGTGTGATGGATTATCTGGCAGTTCTTGCACTGACAGAGGCAGGTCGGCAGGTGCTGTGTAGTCGGGGCTGTCTATGTCCACTTTGTTGGTGAACTCCAACCCCACCTGTTGATGGTGAAAAGATTGTTCGTGTGTATATGCTATGATAGTGTATGTTGATGTTAGAGAGACTGTTTGTGTGTGTAGTAGAGGTGTGCCAGTAGTGTGTTGCTATGTATAGACCCACACGCTTATCTATAGGCAATAAGAGACATACACAATTTATATATGTGTACTATAATATATACTACTATAATTCATTGTAAATGTTCACTATAATATATATTACTATAATCTATACTACATGTGCACTATAATTCAGTCTATAATTCATTTACGTACTCTAACTCATAGTACACTTGTACTATCTTGCCTGTACATCTGTACATGTGCACTGGTGAAAATAAAGAGGGCGAAACATCGCATGAGGACCATTCTATTTATAGCACAGATGCGAAAAAAAATTTATAAATAGCACAGGGATTAACCCGGACCTCGGGCATGAGTCATACCTGGTACAAGGCATGGGACGACCAGTCACCGAACCAATCCACTACGCACCGATTGAACAGCGCAGGCGATGTGGCGGCCCTGTCCTTGAGGCCACTGGTCGTGGGGTTCATGGTGAACACCACATGCAGATTCTTCATCACCTGTCCAGTGTCACGGGAAATAGAACCGGTGGGGCAGGTGCAATGGTTAGTGTGGGCGAGTGAGTGGTATGTTTAACTAAGAACAGCCCGCTGAGCGCACGAGGCGAAGAGATCGAAGGGGTGCTACTGTCATGCACTTTGAAAAGAATAGAACCGATTTAACAGGGTATGTACATCAAATACTAAAACAGTCAAAACAAACCATTGCAACAGCGAAATGCATTCAGATGACATGCGTGTCTGTATATGTAGACACACCCACCCC